GGCCTCGATTCAATGGGGCGCCACTCTTCGCCACGTATGGCAGCCTGAGGAATACAAGCCGGAGGGGGCCGATCGTGGAAAGGAAGGACAGTTAGGAAATGTCGCTGTTCTGAGTTTCAGCGCCCAGGAAAAAGCCAAACAAAATGAGGTTCGAAGGAAGAAATGGAAAGAAAATGCAATACACTTAGCCAAACGAGATAAAGACCCACGGGGCGCATGGGCAGAGTGCACCAAGCTTTGGATTTTAGTCTTCGTTCACGGATTTATTGATTTGTGGTTCGTGTTGGAGGGAAAGAGCCCACTCAACGTATCGTGCAACCCCCCACATTCAGTCCCTGGGCTCAGCGTGGCTTGGAAATTCAGCCAAACAAATACTAATCTGACAAACATCATTTTAGGCCCAGCCATGCGCACGCCGGTGTCTTGTTACCTGCGCGACAACCACGCGGTCCTCAACGTGTATTTAAGTGTCCCATCCATTCCAGCCAGCAGAGGGCGCCAGAGGACCACAAAAGGCCTTTTCCCACCTTGCGCAGGTAAAGCCCCTTTGCCGCCTGGAAGAACCACCTCAAAATTCTGGCCCAAAACGCCTGGGCAGAGAAAAAGCCTGGCTTAACTTATGGACAACCCACCCCTTTTAACTGGCCTATTAATGGGCACCAAAGGAGGAGGCATCCTTTAAAAAAAGGTGGGTTGATACAAGTGGAAGAAGACGGATCTAATATGATTTCACAGAGTTGTATTTTCCTACATTTGATCTGTCTCTCTCTCTGTCTAAAATGCTCTCTCTGTCTAAAATGCTCTTGGCTCTTTCAAAAGAAGGGGGGTGAACCCTAATTATGAGAACAACCATTATAATCCTTGTGGGTATGGTAGTTGGTTGCCCACTTACCAGTAAGTAGATGCCACTCGCTATAGCCAGACAAACGGCGCCAAGGATCGTGGATAGCATATACCCTGCAGGAACTGCTAGGCTGCCAAAGCAGAAGTTTAAAAGAGAAAAAGGTTAGCAGGAAATGCAGTGGTTAGGTTTAGCAAGGGTGGTTTGGTTATCCAGAAGGCCCTAAGCGCTCAGCACATCAAACCAGCTTCCTCAAGCCGGATGCCAGATCCACGGCCATGGGGTATTGAGAGGTGTATTCCTCTGAAGCCAGAGCTCATATTTAGCCATGATGGGCATCCATGGACTTAACCTGCCTAAGCGGGATCTCCTCTTCAAGAAGCTGGGTGACGCAGGGCCGAGAAAGTGGCTGCTTGACACAGGGCATTGTTAAACTATGGAATCTGTTCGTAGTTTTAGCAGTCAACAATCAGGACTCCCTACTGCAGCCTGTCGAGGTTTGTGGTAAGTGAGGAGGGTTTACATTTTTTACATTAAAAAATGCACTCTTGTCCAGCAGTCTCACCTCCCCCTCTCCCCACACGCATTCAGAAGTGTTTTCACTATGCCCCACAAGTGCCCTTGAAATGTCAGAAACTCCCCATAAGCAAACACCAGCACTCCCTCCACATGACCACAGAAACTGCACAGGCTGGCACCCAGCCAGCACCCCACCTCCTTTTGTGGCCTTCAAGGTGGTGGTGGTGGTCTGGGGAGAAGGGAAAACGTGCAGAGAAATCTGCCTGTTTAAGAATCTAACTGGGGGGCAAGATCAGGTCAATGGGCCTTCCCCACAGCTGCAGTGACAACGCTGCAGGATTATCTTGGCCAAGTTAAACCCGCAATCAGGAGCTCAACTGGAGTTTAACTTCTGGGAGTTGCGGAAGATCCCCCAAATTATGGGAATACAGGGGCACAGGGCCAATCTTGGATCTGCACAACCCACGTGGGAGTAAAAATCTCCAACCTCCCTCCCACCTTCACGTCCGCAAACCCTGAGCAGGAGAGCTGCGGCTGAAAATTCTGCCCTGGGTTTGTTGACTGGTGTAAAATGTGCCCAACTATAAAAATGGTTGCGATGTGAATTACCATGCATGCAGAATGGCCCGGACATAATAATTCCTAGTTAAGGGTCCACACGTCTTCACAGCAGCTGTGAAAAATTTCTGGCCCCTGCGGGAGACCAGAACAAAAAGACAGCCAGAAGAAGAAGAAAGCACCCAATTAGTTCAAGGGTAGAAGCGTTCTGTGACACTCAGAAACGCACATCCTCTTCCCAACCCAGTCAATGATGGCTTTCCTGCATCTGGTAAGGATCAGTTTTGCACCACTGTTGCTCCAATACTATGGAGTGAAATTGCATGCACATCTGGAACAAGATGCCCTACAATTCGCATGTGCAACGGGCAGATTCTCATCATTCACCAAAAAGTTCCTCATGCAAATTGGATTTGTCCCTGGGTAAAACATAATTATGCAAGAAATGACCCAACTTGCTGGCATTCTGCTTCATCTGTCATTTGTAATAGTAAGTGTATGGTACCAGCTCATGTTTTACTGTAGTTACTTGCTTTATTTATTTTCTAGATTCATGGTCCCCAAAGTTTTGCAAGGAAGAGCAATCTGCGCATTTCTCTGTACTGAACACATATTCCCTCGCCTACTTTAAAAGAAATCCAGACTAAACTGGGCATCCTCCATTTACATAATTTGCCCTCGAAGTATTAGCACCAGGAAGGAGGAGAGAATAATCACACACCCCTGGCCTCTGTCCAATCCCTGATATTTCCCTAACATAAAGGTCTGTTTTTGCAGCATGAGGACTAGAAGCTTCACCTTTGCTTTAGTGAAAGCTGTTTCCCAGCAGGTTGAGTTTCTCACCCAGCACCAGTCTGCAATTCACCAGCTCATTGAGGGCCATCATCACAAAGTTAAGAAACGCAACACTCACCACCTCTCTAGAGTCGATCCTTTCTTCCTTTTCCCTCGGGGATACTCCAGAAAGCAAACAAACACTCCCGCAACTCTGTAGACAAATGGGTTAAGGAAGGAAAAAGAGGAAGAATTCTTTGCGGAGGCTTCTCCAAGGCAGCCGAGAGAGAGAGAGAGAGAGAGAGAGAGAGAGA